GTCCGCGTGAGGTCGAACCGTCGGAGGTGGCTTTAGCTTTGCCTTTACTCAATCTTCGGTTCACGTCGCCCATATCCACGGACCGTCTACCGGACTCCCTCGACATTTTAATATATATTTTTTTGATATTAAAATAATATATTACTTTTGGAAAAATTAAAAAAATTTCGAAATTTTATATATTAAAATTTCGAAAATTTCAAAAAATAAAGAATATATTTAAATCATTTAAAGATTAAAGAATATATTTAAAAATTAATAATTTTTAAAATTTTGAAAATTTTGAAAAAATTTCAAAATTTTATATATTAAAATTTTGAAAATTTCAAAATTTTAATGTATACAATTTTTATATTATTATATGAATATTAAATGTATAAAAATTAAAAAGAGATAATAAGATTGAGAGATTGATAAATTGAGAGAATGAGAGATGGATTGAGAAATTGAGTGATTTTTTATGTAAAAAATGTGAGAATTTATAGATAGTTTCTTCCCCCCCCCTCCCCCCCTCCCCTCTTCCCCTTCCCCACCTCAACGGCTAAATAGCCGTTTGAGGTGTGCCCCCCACTATTTTTTTTTGACTTTTTGCAGGTGGCTTGGCTTGGGATTAGAAATGAACAAAAAAAAAATGTAACCGGTATCGGAACCGGACCGGTACCGCCGGTACCGGTACCAAAAAATAGGTACCGGTGACACGGCGACGACGACGGTGACGGTGGCGGGTACCGGCGGTACCGTCCATTTCGGTACCGGTTCCGGGAACCGGTGACGGTGGCCACCGTCACCGTCGTGGACGGTACCGCCGTGGATATAAAGAGTTTCGTTGAATAACTCAAGGCGTGAAGAATGGCTTGGAACAAGACCTAAAATACTCAAGGACAAGATCAAGAATTGAAGACTTAGTCGAGTCGGTCTTTTGTGATCAAAACCGACAATAAATTCAAGTCTCGGTTCTCAAAAAGTCAAAACAATTTTTACAAATCATAAAATATTTTTTGTGCATCAAAACAAACATTTTTTGATGATTTCTTTTATTGATAAAATCCCTAGTCCTTTCTCAGAACCGAAACCACCTAAGTCGGCTTTCGGCGTTCGACTTTCGGCGTTCGGTTTTTGGCGCCCGAACCAACTCCGTGGTTTTCAATATTTTAAACCCTGTTTTTACCTATGAGCATTTTTAAAATGATCCCAAATAATTATTTTATAAAAACCACTTTTGTATCTTGATCAATCGGTCTAACACGTGAAAAACGGTCAAAACCGTACGCACGTATTATACGACCTTGGAGACTTGGTTTTTACCAAACAAGTCTTGTTTTCACTATTTTATACCATATACAATATTTTCCAAACCTGGTTTTTACTTTTGGGAACACTTCGTTTTTGGACCTCGGTTTTTCAAAACGGGTTTCAGCTGGCTAGACTTTAGCTGGGTGATAATCGATTCTCACCTTAGTGACAATCGACTATCAGCCCCTGCAGCTTTGAACTTCCAAAGTTCTGAAGTACGCAATAATCGATTATGAGATATACAATAATCGATTATCAGCCTTTGCAGCCAAAACTTAGAATCTTCTGAGAGGACCAATAATCGATTATCACTTGTTGACAATCGATTATCTGGGTTACCGTTGTCCTCCAACGGATAGAATTTTAAATTTTTGGACAGGGAATCTTTGGATAATCGATTATCAAGCTTTGATAATCGACTCTCAGCCTGTGTCCCTGAAAAATTTGTCTTCATCTTGTTGGAAATTCTAGCAACGGGTTTATCCCATTTTGGGCTATAAAATGGCACCCAAATCCTCTCATTTCAAACACAATTCTTCAACATTTCAATACTCCTTCATTGCATAAGCATTCCTATTTTTCTTAGCTATTTGAGAGCCAATTCTTGAAGAAATTGTCGTGTTCTTGAGCGTTTACTAGTTCACTCATATCTACTCTTTGTGAGAGTTTTATTCCTGAGTGTTTAAGTGTTTTCATACACTTTAAGGGAGGTTGTTCCCTTGTTGTAAACTCAAAGGAAGTTCCTTGTTCCTTCGTGAGAAGTCTTGGAGTGCGGTATCTCCGAGCAAAGGTGTTGAGGCTCGTGTGACTCGGGTTCTCAAGTTGTATCGGTTTGTTAAGCACCCTTAAGCTTAACGGAGTTAGTGTAGCTCGAGAGAGTCTCTCGGGGGGCTGGATTAGCCACACGTTGTGGTGAAC